GAACACACTTATAATGACCTCAGGGGTCTATGGAAACTCGCTAAATAGGTAAGAGCTGATAGGTATCACCCACGCGATTCCCTTAAGTTCACCACTGGTAACCTAGGGCGTCACAGCACATACCTTTAACAACCAGGTTAAGGTGCTTAAAGCCGCCTTCTTCCTGCTACTACCGGAGGTACTGCTCAATGATATCGAAGACGCGGTATACCCGCAAGCACATTACTGCCTTATAGCCATCACTGAAGAGGAGATACAAAACGCTATTTAACGCACAGGGGCAGACAGAGCCCCGGGCCCTAATGGGATCCCTAACAGGATCCTTTAGGCCTGTGTTGATCAGCTCAAACCCACGCTTACTCACTTATTCTCTGCTTATACATCGCTAGGATACTACCTTTATGCTTTTCAGAAGGCCTACACGCTAGCTCTAAGAAAACCTAATAAACCAGACTACTTATCTCCTAAGGCCTATAGACTAATAGCCTTACTTAACATAATAAGCAAGATACTAGAGTCTATTATAGTGTAATAAATTACCTTCTTAGCTAAGCAATATAATGCTTTTCTAGAGATATAAATAAGAGTAAGGGGTAATCACTTAATTAAGGCAGTACTAGAGCTCCTTACTAAATAGATATATATAGTCTAGAACTAAGAGAGAGACAAGATAGCTTCTTTATTAAGCATGAATATAACGGGCATCTTTAATATAATATTACATTAATAATTAATTTATAATTTAAGAAAGTATAAGATCTCTCTTATAATTATTAAATAAGTAATAAGCTTCTTATTAAATAAGGCAAGAGATTTAAGGTCTGTACAGGGATCCTTTAGAGCTCCCTAGTCTCGCCTATTCTGTACCTCTTTTATAACGCGGATTTATTAAATATCACTAATTATTAAGAGACTAAGGCGAGCACTTTTAGCTTTATTAATAATATTAATATACTTATGTTTAGCTAAAGCATAAAAGAGAACTATAAATGCCTAAAGCAATTATATAATAAGTGCTTATGCTAGGCCTACTATTATAGTGCTATCTTTGCACTATAAAAGTATAAGCTAATTTATCTTATAAGAAACCTAAGGAAGTTTAATATAGAAGAAATAATTAATATAGCCAGCACTTTAATAGTAATAAAAACGGATATTAAAGTACTAGAACTTTAGATTAATACTTAACTAAAATAAAGCCCTTATGTTAAAAAAGTGCTTTAAAAGATGACTTAATAGACGCTTACGCTCACAGCTTTATCAACTTCTATATAGGGCGCTTTCCTCTTATATATAAGACATATTTATGCTATTATTAAACTAGTAATAACTTATATATTAGCTATTTAGCATTTTTCTAACAAGTTATAAGACATAAAATCAAATATTATTAAACTCTTACTTATTTAGAATAGATGCTTATATATAATAGCTAGGGCCTATAAGGTCACGTCTATCCTAGTCCTTAAAGTAGAGACTTACTCTCTACCCTTTTTATTACTACTTAATAGTATCTAGATAAACTCTTAGGGCTCACAAGGGATACTATATCTAAATATAATAATATGCTGTCTCTTAAGAATAGCTTTACTTTATTATATTAATAATAAGTTATATATATAGTCTTTTATAACTTTATTAAAGATAATAATATTAATATTATTATTTTATAATACTTAAAAATAGCTGCTACTTTTAAAATAGTCTTCTTAATTTCTTTTAATACTTGTTTATTATTCTTTTTTTTTAACTTAGTTATTTAAATATATATACTATATTACTAGTATAATACCTATAAAACGCTTGCTTAACGTAGGCCAGACACTATTATAGACGCTTATAAATTTTGTTTTAGTTACTTAAGAGGTGTTACTTTTTATGCTAGTAGCATCTTTTTAATTTGTTTAAGTTGTGCTTTTATTATTTTAATTAGTGGCTAGCGACTCATAAGCAAGACATAGTTGATGATGTTTACTAACTCATCTAAGTACTATAGCCTTACCCCTTCTTTCTTAAGACCCTCTTTAATATTAGTAAGTGATTCCTCTATCTCAATCCACACCTCTGTAGATAGCAGTCCCTCTTTCATGTTGTAGTCCTCGCTTAGAGGAGTACTACATATTAGTCACAACTCGCCTTCGACTCGCCTACGCTCCGCAGGCCCCCTACTAGGCTCTGGCAGTAGCATTATTATTACCTAGGTAAAGTTGACCTTCTGATCATGAATTTGGCAGTTGTAAAGCTTCTAGCTATTTGTAAAGGGCAGTTTCGTACATAAGTAAATTTATTAACTATTTA